GGAGAAGGCACTGTATCTGGGCTCCTAAGTCATGACCCAGCTGAGGTACAGCACAGACCAGGGAGTGCCCCGGCAGGTGGTGGGTGCGGCAGGGGCTTTGGGAGCTGTTTCCTGATCAAGAAGACAAGCAGAGAGAGGTTGAGGTGGCCAGATGGGAGGGCTCCAACGTGCAAAGTTTCAGCTCAGAAGCCGATGAGGTTCCTGCACTTGTTTTTTTCTTGCGGATTTCAGAACCTCATTCAGAATCCCGCTCTCCTCCACCACCACGTCTCGCTCCCTTGAGCATGGCCCAAGCCAGAGCAGGAAATGGATCTGTGCAAACCAGTTCTGAGCACTCCCAAATGAGCATGCATGTGATGATCATGATAGTCACTAGAAGGGCAACCCCGATATCACCAAACATTATTTAGGGCTTCCTCTATCAGACTTTGGTGATTTTGGACATTCAATCTCACAGTAGAGTCATTTCCTATGTGGGCTGCCTGATTCTGTTGTCTTTTTTAAATCTTTTTGGATCTTCGGCCTGTGTAGTCCTGACTGTCATGGCCTGTGATGGGTTTGTAGCTATTTGTCACCCCCTGCACCATCCAGCCATCATGAGCCCCTGCCTCTGTAGCCTGCTGGTCCTGCTGTCTCTTTCAATCAGCCTTTTGGACTCCCAGCTGCACTTCCTGGTGGTTTCACAGCTTACCTTCTGCATGATTGTGAAAATTCCTCGATTCTTCTGTGACCCTCCACATCTCCTCAAGCAGGGCTGTGATGACATCTCCACCGATAACATATTCATCCATTTTGTTGATGCCGTCCTTGGGGGTGTTCCAATCTCGGGGATCCTTGACTCTTACTATAAAAGTGTTTCCTCCATTCTGAAAATTCCATCAACTCGTGGAATGCCTAAAGCCTTTCCCACCTGTGGCTCTCACCTGTCAGTGGCTTGCTTGTTTTATATCACAGACCTTGGGCTGTACCTCAGCTCAAGTGTCTCACATGCTCCCAGGAAGGGTGCAGAGGCCTCAGTGGTGTACACTGTGGTCGCCCCCATGCTGAGCCCCTTCATCTACAGCCTGGGGAACAGGGACATCAGGAGGGCTGTGCAGAAGCTCCCCCAACAGAATACACTCATTTTAATACTTGGGCCATTTTTTTTAGTTTGTGGATTAGAAAAGATTGTAAAACCAAACATCTGGAATTGGCAAACATGACTGTTTGTTCACATAATTCTTGTAGCTCATGGTTTTCATTCCTTTGGTTTATCATATCTGAAAATTGTTTATTTGGGCACATCTTTGATGGGATTAAGGTAGTATTCTGGGATCCCATGTATGTCAAAATCACTGCACAGTGGAATCCTATAACACCAATAGAATCATATGCATTTGTCACCTATGATCCAGTCACCCTGTAGAAATTCACAACTCTCCTTTTAAATATGTATACAATGAATCTCAACCATTTTCACTCTGTGTCTATTGTCCATAAAACTTTGGCTTCAATCAAATCTATTGATGCAGGTTGTGTTTGAGAGACTTTGTGTCACTGGTCCTCAATGGTGGCTTCATATTGGGCACATCTGATGAACTTTAAAGCATCTTCACAAGTCCTACCACCAAGGATTAAGATTCAGTTGGACAGGAGGGTGGAAAAAGTATGGGAAGACATAGCAGCACTCCAGGTTGGGTCAAAGGTATAGCCAAGGCGCGGGACTCTTGGATTTTGTCAGACGTTTCGTTCAAAGATGACTTGCGTTTCAGTTCTTTACTGTTCACAGTCCAATCCCGCCTAACTTTCAAACCTGCCTTACTTGTACAAGAGTAAATGCAATCAGAACCATTCTTTCCCTCTCTTGGGATTTGGTGAACTCATCTGTAGGGGAATGGGCTGAGGTTCATGGGGGCCTTTATTGCACAACTACTGTAGATCACAGAGTTTCTATGCATAGCCATGCATCTTGTAAACTATTTTTGGAAATCTGAGCTGTGGAAATATTATTCCCTGTACAATATGTGAATTTTCATGAAGACCTGTCGTGGAAAGATAGTTTCTTTGCTAGACAGATCTTTCTGTTTCTATGCCTTGACAACAACAGCATACAGTGGAATTTGTCTGACTTTTCTATTGGTAAAACACATGTAGGTAATTCATAGTGAAGTTACACATTGCCAGTTTTTAGAAATTATTTCTCTTTCATGCATGTATCTTACAGAAGTTCTCACTGTGTGAAAGAGGCAGAAGCATAAAAATTTCATTAATTGTGCCATAATAAGGAATTGACAAATGAAATTTATTTTTCAAGCAACGTTATATATTATTCAAAGTGTTTCAAATACATATATATACTTCACAGAGTCTTAAAATACAGTATTGGGCAAGTCAGAACTCAGGAAACAATATGTGTACAATGAAAATATTTAGGTAAGGTCAAGACAACAGTTGATGGACATATAACCAATGCTACTATCTAGCAGTATTGACAAGGAAATTCATCCGCCAAATTTATAAAAAGTGTTTGTTTTAGGGCAACTGGAGTGCAGAGAAGTGAAATCATGTAGGGATGGATATTGTGTAT